TTATCAAATAAAATTTTATTTAAATATTTTAAAATTTAAAAAATGTAGATCATAAGCATATTTTTAACAATTTTCCAAGCAAATTTGCCTAGAAAAGCTTACAAATTAAGGGATAGTAATTTAAACAGTTGTAAGTGAATACATGTATAGTTTTGGAGTTTTGATATAGTTTTGAGAATTTACTATAGATTTAAGATTTTAAATAGTTTCAGAATTTCAGTATAGGCTTAAATTTCAATATAGTTTCAGAATTTTAACAAGTTTCAGAGTTTTGAAAATTAGTTTCAGATACCTAAAACTAGTTTCAGTTTTGGTTAGTGACCTAATATAGTTTCAGATAGCATCATTAACTAATAAGATGATCAGATGATAATAAACTTAAGTATTAAAAAAATTCTCAGTAATCTGTATAGTATCAAGAATTCTAATAAAGTACTAATGTAATTACTTAAGTTTAAAAAAAAAAATAAAATAAAGATTCTACAAATAAGAAAAAAAATAAATATATATCAAAAAATATAACTATTAGCAGATTGGCATATAAAAAAAAAAAAAAGCTATAAAAATAAGCAAAATCAAACTATAAAAAATAAAAATAAAATAAAATTCAAAAATCTTAAATTTAATTGTTGATTTTATAAAAAATATATTATTTGTTTATGACTTTAATGTTTAACTTAATATAACCCTCTGATCAGATTAAATTTCTGATTAGTGCAACATACCACTTTTAAATGCTTATAAAAGTAATCAAAAGATGTCAAACCAAATCTGAACCAACTTTGTACAAATATGTATACAACAATCTTAATAAAGATGATCGGCAAGGAAGCCTAAGTTAAAAAAAAAAAAAAAATTTATAATATCATTGTTGTCTAACTCCCAATATTCAGATAACTCCAATGACTTTTTTATATTTATGTTTTTTAAAAAGTGGAACTTTATAGAACTGTTACCTATCTCTTATCTTTTACTTTAATAGGTTTAAAATTTCATTTACTTTCCCGTTTAGCCGTTTAATTTGGCTGGCATTAAAATAATTACGGCTCATGACCAACATCATTCTGCCCGGAACTATGAAGCAATTTTTAAAGGTTAAACGGTTCCAATCCCTAGTTCGTAAATAGTAAATAAGATAAAATTTTAAAATTTTAACGTTGTTACTAATGCAGACTCTGCATTAGTAAAAACGTTAAATTTTATATTATTTACTATTTATGAACAATGTTTGATTAATAAATAGTGAAACCCACTCTTAAAATAAATAGCGAAACTCTAACATAACAGCGAAGTGTTTAAGTCGGTAATACTAAATCCAGAATTACATTTCAGATTGTAGATTTGAACCATTGTAAACTGGTAATGTTAAAAAAAATCATCTTTTATGTATGCGCTAACACTATACATATATGTATTAAATAATAGAACTTTAAAATACATATTTTTATCTCTACATCTAAACTAATTAAAAATATATTATCTTTTACACGTGGGAGTAAATTCGAGCGAAGAACGAATAAATAAAGTAGTAAAAAGATATTGCTCGCCATTAAAATCATTTAGTGGGACATGACGATACCCTAACAAAGTAAAGCACATTCAAAATTACTTATGTAAAAGAAAAGAAAAGAAAAAAAAAAAAGCTCACCAAATTTTAAACTAGTTACGGGAATACAATAAGATGCAATAAAATCATTGCTCCTCACGTCTTCATTCCAAACAACGAATCTTTATAAATTCAGATTATTGATGATTTAACGTTCATTTAAGCAAAATTATACATTAACAGTTTTCAATAGGAATGGATCTATTTACCGCAAAAATACCAAACTCATTTCTTCACAATTCAACGTAAATTTTAAAGTTTCATTCCACGTAGGATTAAAACCATTATCGGAAATGGTGCTAGTCCTTTTTTTTGTAGCATCAGCACCAGGGATGAGCAATTCTACTTCAACAAATGGATCAATTACCTCGTCTGCGAGGGCATCTTTTGGTTTAGGGAGTTGTTGTGCAGAAATTATCTTTCGATGTATTAATCAAAGGTGAAATGTGTATTAATTTACGAAATAAGATAAAGCTGAATCATCAAGAAAACACAAATTACATACTTCAATTGTCAAAGTTTGAGTTGGTGGATGTATATTTATAGCTGGAGAAATAATTTCGGGATTGCGCAGTCTCTCTGACTTGAGTACATAACCACATCTGCCATTAACAGAAAACATGGCTTGATCGATTTGCATTCCTAGGTCTTGAAATAATCCAATAAACAGTTTATATAAAATGTCATAAACGAAAAGAAAGTCAAAGTCAGAACTAACCAAAAGTCTGCCAATTTAAGGCGACCATTTGGTTCCCAACCATCCATTGATGATGTGGTTCAAAATTTGACGAGTTTATCCGAAAACCCGATGGATATATACGCGATAAATGGCGTGTATTGTGCCGAATAAAAGCAGCTTTGTCAGATTTTAGGAACCTTAAAGAAACTTTGTCAGTAAAGGATGACATGTGATAGTACTTCGAATTCTCTACACATTTATAGTTTGTGATTAATTCTTAGGACAATGTAATCCCTAAATCTTTAGTTTGATAAGCATACCGCGATGATGATCAAATCCTTTAAACTTAACAGCAGAGCAATAGACTACCAAGTCTGAAAGGGCTTTTGCAATTCGTAATTTAGTCTTTTTAGGTTTAGCCTTTTTTTCTTTTTCTATTAAATACGAATAAAAGTCGTATAATATTAATATATGAATACATTAATAGACATACTTAAAAGGACGTACCTTTAGATGATTCAACATCTGATTCAGTATCAGTAGTAGATTCAGTATCAGTGGTCGAGTCAACATAGTCTTCTGATAAATTAGGAGGAAGATTTTTCCCCTAGTTATGGAGGTTTAAATTTTATATAAATGTGTTGTAGAATGTTCGGTAAGGATTTTATAAAAAAAAAACTATCACTAATCATAAAATGCTTACTTTTAATATTATTTTATATAACAAACTTGCAGGACTCGGTAATTCTGTTTCGTTTTCTGATATGAACTTAGTGACGAGATATTCACCAAGAGTGTTACTTAAAATAGAAGCCATTTGATTTTGTTGATTAATATTACAGTGAACTTCAAGTGATAGGATTAATGGATATGCACTGGCTTTGAATGCATAGGTACGGATTGCTGAAATAACGTCCTGGAACTTGATTTTAGATGTCCTAATTTATGATAAAACTCGTCACTATAAATATAACGAAACGGTCATGCAAGTTAAAATTTCATTACAATGTATGACCATGAGTAACTATGGGACCATCAGGTCCGTCCCAGCAATCAACTAGGAGAGAAACAAATATGTGGCTTATAAGTAATTTATGAGAATATAATAAAGATCTAATGATAAATTAATATTCATACTTTCAACACAACGACATCCTCTCTGTAACGCACGTATGTATCCTTCTACTGAAGATTCACCTGTCAGCTGATGTCCTAAAAGATAACTAAATTATAAAATAAATTCGTAAAATAAATAAATAAATAAATAATTAATTAATTAATGGACTTTTAAAGATCTTTGACGTACGTATTGTGCGAAGAATCGATGAAATAATGACTTAGTGGTTGTGTCATGTCTTGATAAACTTTGGCATGTTCTGAAGCAAAAACGGCGTTGTCGCTAGACATTAGGAAACTACTAAATCCCTCTAAATTCATCTCTTTAAGGTCTTTATCACAAAATTTATAATACAAATTATCATATTCTTCTTCCTTCAAGGCGCACTGACTCATTATAAAATAATGATGTTAGTCAAAGTATCCATCTAATAAATTCAATTAGAGCGTGTAGTAAAAATAAAAATAATAATAACAAATAATAAAAATGCCCACCTTTTGAACATCGACGAGGAAGTCTTTGAATTCACGAAGTGTCAAAGTATTTCCGCGCTCTTTCGCCAGAGAATTAAATAATCCATCCAGTTCAACCCTTTTCTTAATTAATTTAACAAATCGCTGAAAATCAGTAAAATCAAGCCAACCATCCATATTTCCATCTGCTTCCTATAATTAAGATCATCAGAATTGAGATTAAAATAAGATAGTGATAATTAATAAACATGCAACAATACAATTAATAATACATGCAACAATACAAATACAAACATTAAATTTTTTCCTAAGCAGCGCCTTTGACATGTTTATATTCAAATGACGACATAACCTTGTGACATCATCGAAGCCTAATCTTGAATCTCCATCTTTATCAGCCTGCTTCCAGTGTTGCTTCAGCCATAAAGATTGACGTCTTCTCAAATGACCTAAACCTCCAATCATATCCCTTCTGTGCAAATATAGTTTTTCTAAATTATCAACCCATATATTAAATAATTCTAAAGTCGGTGCGACTAAGTGAAGAGTTTTATATTTTCCAAAATCAACATAAATGATGGTGAACCATCGAGGCTCAATATCCACACTAAGCTTGAAATGTTCCCTATAACTTCTTATCGCTTCACCAATTCGAAGTTCCTTAATACTTTCGATGTTGACTAATGAAGACAACAAGCACGAGAATTAAAATAAAGATCAAAATACTTTTCATCAAATTAGTAAGATAATATTTGCCTTTTCCTGATTTTTTGGAATCCCATAGTATTCGACCTTGCTCAACGTCGATCCTGAAGATTTTTTGTTGTTTCTTTTTTAATGAAACTTTTAAAAGTGCAGTACCCTCGGCGAGACATGGTTCGACTGCAATCTCGCTTGTAGTTCCTTCGGCGAGACATGGTTCGACGACAATCTCGCTTGTTTGGATCTCGATAGGAGGGTTTGAAGTTGAAACGCGTTTTGGTCGACGAAAGGTAAGGGGCATGTCAAATATGGTGCCCTCGGGTTCAAATCTCCATAAAAAATAGCTTTACGAAAAATGCTACTTCCCTCTTAAAAATTTATAAGATAAAAATAATCCACAAGATTTGTTCTTCTTGTCTTTAAGAACAAAACTTGTGGTTCGAATTTAAATTAAAAGCTTAATAAATGGTACAATAATCTTTTAAACTCTTTGCTATTTTATCATAAAATTTGAAAATTGTGAAATTGCGAAAATGTGAGCATTTTTCTTTTTTTGACCAATCAAACCATCATATACATACCATGTGATATAAAATTCATCGGAAAAATTTAGCAAGACAGAAATTTGTTTTTATTGGCTGATCATCAGTGTCTTGATTGGCTAAAATTAAAGATTGATTTTCCTATCGCTATATTGTATTGGTCAGGAGTATAACTGTACCCGTAGGAGCCATAGGAAAACTTGCTGTTTAAATCAATTTAATTTTAAATTATTTATACAGTTTAAAGTACTTTTTAAACTACGCAGAATAAAAAAAAGCATATAAAAAAAATATAAAAAGTTTTATTAGGGTTGTAGGGATCAACCATTAAAAATAATCAAAATCATTTTTGGTTTTATAGTAGTATAATAGCGATAGCGACTTTTTAAAGATCGGTTATTACCATGCCAACTTCTCTAAAGTAAAAAGTGATTTTGATTTTTAATAGTGGAGTCCTACAACCCTAATAAAATCTTCTATATACTTCTTTTTTGTTTATTCTTCATTTTTTAAAAGTACTTTAAACTGTATAAATAATTAAATTAAATTGATTTAAACAGCCAATCATACGAAAGTGTATATTGTACGAATTAATTAATAAATTAATCCCCAACGGATCAGGATATTATTATTACTAATTCATTATACATAATTGACATCATAGTGTAAAATGCTTGATATATAGGAATGTAAAGTTTCTTCCAAGTAATTATGAAATGGTTTTAAATAAAACAGCTTAAACAGGCTCGCGTTACTAAAAAAATTCGCCGAAGTTGGTGTCCATGAAAAACTAAATCATATATTACTGTATAGTGGTTTATATTATCGAAAACACTGAAAATAATTTTTAAATACGTAGTACCCGGATATTCTCCAAGGCATTAGGGTACTATTCATTAAACCTTAATATGATTGTATATGGATATAAATTAAATTTAAGGGGGATTATCAAAACAGGAGCGATCGTTCAAATTTCCGATATAGTTACACGGGTCCACTAATTTTCCCCCAAGTTACTATTAGTCGTGAGTAAATCGCATTTCTAATTGGATAAAATCGTCGATTTTTAATAACGTGATGCATCTATAGCGAATTAGAGAACAAGATCAGGTATATTTATTTATCTTTGAAAAGGCTCATTTATCTCAAACTTTCGCCTAAGAATTCACAAAAAAAATTCCTTACATAATTTTGCTATAAAATCATCTATTGATTCTGACATTACAATCGAAATCATAAGTATTTCTTTTGCTAAGTTTTTTGAACATACTGTATAATATATATAAATACTGATTATACTTACTTTTTTTAGATTCATTGATAATCTGCATTTTGCATTGGATAATCAATGAATTTTTGGTAGTTCAAAAAATGTTTCTTCTCTTATAAAATTATTTTTTTGTATATTTGTTTAAAGATTTAAAATTTGGATTAGATGTAGCAGCAAATAAGGTATATTATAATAAAAAAATATATTATATTGTGTTAGCAGATAGTAATTAGTCAAAAAAAATATTATTAAAAAGCATTAAATTAAAGAAATTTTAAACTTATACAAAAAAAAAAACAATATAATTATATATTTTTTTAATATAAATTAGTGTAAATTAAAAAATTGTTTTAGATTTTACTAACAAACCAACTTTTTTTAATTTTTTTTATATCAAATTAGAAAAAACAAATCTAGTAATAATTCAGAAAACAGTATAAAAAATATACAGAAACAGTATATATAAAAAAAAGAAGCAAATAGACAAAATATATAAATATAGTATAAAAACAGAATAGTTAAAAGAATTAAGAAACAAATTTTTATAAAACCAAAAAAAATTTTTTAAATTTTTTAAAATTTTTGAAAATTGGCATTAATTTTAAAAATAAAAAATAGCAATATATAATTAGTAAACAGGAATAAACAAATATAGACATATACAAATCTAATAATAAATAAAATATATAACAAATAAATAAAAGATAAACAAAACAAATACAACATATATTAAAAAAACAACAAATTAACTTTTTCTGCTAATTGGCAGTATTAAAATTAGCCTTAAACAAAATACAAACAAATCTCAAATTCAAGACTAAAAAACAGCAATAATACTTCTAAAAACAAGAATTCAATATTCAAAAAGATATATATTTAAATAAAACCAAATCTTCATTAACTTGAACATAAGTTTTTTTTATAATTTTTAGAAAATTTTTGTTAAAATTTTATACAAATTATAGAAAATTGTTTTGCTTTTAAAAAACAAAAACATACAACATATGATTAGTAAACAATAACAAATAAATAAACAATCATATCTTATTTTAAAAAAGACAATAGTTATATAACAATAACAAACAAAAAGATCATATATAAAATTAGATAAGAAAACAATCTTTTTTTTTTTTTTTGCTAAAGGTCATACTTGTAATAATACTTTATTAATTTTATTGGTTTAGCTATTACAACTATTTTTACAAAAATGAAAATACAACTAATTATATATGTAACTTTTGGTTGCCTATTTAAGTAGTTCACTCTAAGATTCTATACTAGATATCATATTTATAACTTACTAGAAGATTATTCATTTAAACCCTTTGATCATCCATTCTGTGAAATCTCAACTTATCTATGTATATACTTAACCGGTATATCATCTGAACAGTATGATACCTATTCTTTTTGTACTGTTCCTAGGCTGTTATACATTTTAGAGTAAGTTACCTGTCAGTAAGATGCAGGAGGCCTTCTGTTGTTAACTATCTAACTACTTTTAGAACACTAATATGAGCTATTCTTACAGAGTTTACTTAGACCCTGCACTAACTTCACAGCATATCTCTAGTACTTTAGTATATCTTTGTTTTGAACCTCAAACTTCCAATCTAGATAGCTTGAAAGAACTATAACCTGTTCTTGTTATATTAAGACTAGCCTAATATCTTTTTTTTCTAAGTTAAAATCTAGTAGCCTGATTGGTAGTACCCCTCACCTAAGGTTCTTGTCTGTCTGACTTTTTTACATTGGTATCCATTTTCTAGATCTAGCTTTTACAGTAGTGTCATCAATGATCTGTATTATCTCTTTATTTAGAATTTCCAAATAAGCTCCAGTTTTCCAGTTCTACATATTTATACAACCCAAGGACTTATTTTAGGTTTGCACCACCTGGTACTGGTTTGCATTCTTCTGTATAACCAAAATTACACAAATGCCCTAGACCTGTCAGTTATGCTAATACAACTATAATTACAGGTATCTTATCTTAACTGATCGACAGAATGCTGTTGCTATAATACTATCTATATATTACATAGGTGATTATTTATTAGTAGTTTTGAATTCACAACCTACCATTTGAGAGTATGACAATTTATTCACTTCACTAAGTCACTATACCTCAAGAAAACAGTTTTAGAATAAGTATTTAGATAAACAAAAGTCAATCAAATTAGATATAATAAATAAGATGAAAGAGTTATATAAACAAGAGATTTTATATTGTATTAATGAATTAGATACCAAAAATTTAAAGTTTATAAATAGTAAGATATTAATAAAAAAACTAAGAACAATAATATCTTATATTTTAAATAATAGTAAGCATATAGTCAAAGTTTGGCAATAATAGATTTTGACAAAATTATAATAATAAATTTACTAATCTATAGTTAAATATTAAGTTTATTAAGACAAAAAAAGAATAAAATCTTAAATAATATTCTGATTAAAGAATAGGCAACCAAAGCCAGAATAACTTACAAAAACCCAGAAACAATGAACTATATAACAAATATGAATAATGAACAAATATAAGAAGAAACAAACAAGATAGAAAATATAGAAAAAAAAATAAAGTAAAAAGGCTTCAGAAAATAAGTACAAGAAAATAACAACAAAAAAAAAACAATAACTAGAAAAAGAAAATCTGAAGTTTTATAAATCAGCAAAACAAACTAAAAACAATAACTATATAGAGAAGAAAACCCAGTTAAATATAAAAATAACAAACTAAATATTGGTAACAATAATTTTAAAATGCTTAAAGAAGATACAAATAAACCAAAGTTTAAAAATAAGAAGTTTAAAAAAGATCAAGAAGTACTCTTAAAAAATATATTCAAAGATAGTAAAAAAATATATAAAAAAAAAGTTCAAAAAGAAATTCAAAAGCAAAAAGAAAAAGAAAACATTATAGCTTTGAAAGATCAAATCTTAGTAATATTATTAAAGAATAACTTGTAGTTACTAGAGAATAGAACATATAAGTAAAATAATTCATTTAGAGCAAACATTCTAGTATACAACTTGCTAGAAAACAAAATCAAAAGAGTAAATTATCTAAAATGTATACTAAGAGACAACAAGCATATTAAATCAATTAGAAAAAAATTTAAAAAAAGAAACAAATAGATAATAATTAATTTAAACTATAAATTTGGTAGAAATACAGTAATTAAAAAGTTAAAAAAAAAAAGATTGATTAGTTATGATCTTAGATGAAAAAGTAAAAAATGTTGCAAAAGTAAATTATAAATAAACCAAAAAATACAAGAAAGAAGTTAAATAAACCAATTTAGATAATATAAAAAATGAAATTGCAAATGAAAAAAAAAGAAGAAATCTTAAAAAAATATAGAATTTTAACATTATGAGATCTATTTTCAGATATTAATAAAAAAGAAATAAGATATATATGTAAAAGTTTTTAAAATCTATACATAATATGAATTAAAAAGATACAATATAAGGCATTAGCAG